AGAAGGGAGTCTGGGACAAAATATGTGGCCTCGACGCCCTTGTAGGTCTGCCTTGAAAACAAGGAGAGCGATCTAGTCTGTGTCAAAATTCGTTTTCTTTCTTCTTTCTCTTATTTATCTTCCCCTAAATTAACTCTCTCCTCCTATTACCCTAGCTTTCTTCCCTTCCATTTACCCTCCTTCCCTCCACACAAGCGCTCTCCTTCTCTACTTTTAATGCAAGGTAAAACATTTAATATCAAAGTATTGGTGATTTTTTCTCCCTCAGTATACGCCTGCGTCCGTAAAAATCTGCGTTCACTATTATTATACCTGTTATTATTGCCATCTTAGTTTCTATATTATATATATATATATATATATATATATATATATATATATATATATATATATATATATATATATATATGCAAACAATCGCAGACGGGCGATCTTAACTATGCAGAACAAGCTACGGGGGGAAGAAATCTTTAGCTCAAGTACTTTCACACTTCTCAGTGCGTCATCAGGAGCTGTGCAATGTTGCAAGGGAGCAACCAAAGCAGGGAGAGAGGTCTCAGAGTAGTGTAGGTGTCACTGGTCACGGTTACCCTTAAGGGTAACTGGCCACAGTTACCCTTAAGGGTAACCTTAAGGGTAACGCTACTCTGAGACTTCTCTCCCTGCTTTGGTTGCTCCCTTGCAACATTGCACAGCTCCTGATGACGCACTGAGAAGTGTGAAAGTACTTGAGCTAAAGATTTCTTCCCCCCGTAGCTTGTTCTGCATAGTTAAGATCGCCCGTCTGCGATTGTTTGCATATATATATATATATATATATATATATATATATATATATATATATATATATATATATATGCAAGGAATTCGCGAGAGTAGGCGAAATATACACAAACACTGGTTCGTAGGTTCGAGTCTCCTTCAGCCAGAGATCAGTGTTTGTGTATATTTCGCCTGCTCTCGCGAATTCCTTGCATTGTTAAAATCTTTAGTAAAGCTGATGCATGCAGGGGATGAGATGAAAAGCTGTAAGCCTTCTCCCTGAAAGCTGGCTGCCTTGGATCAAACGTGTAGCGCAAGCTACACACCAAGGTATTGTCCAGTGTGGGTAGATTGGTAAAGCACTGCGTACCTTGTCCCAAGGTTCGAGTCTCCTTCAGCCAGAGATCAGTGTTTATATATATATATATATATATATATATATATATATATATATATATATATATATATATATATATATATATATATATATATATATATATTCAGCATCCCGGTCCCCCTCTCCATCCTTCCCAGAAGGGAGGAAAGGAAGAAGGCAGTGAGGGAGGGATGGCCGTAAGGCAAGACTGAGCAGAGAAGGGCAGGCGGTGTTGTGTGATTCAGTTCAGTGGGCCTAGTTACAGATGAGTGGGCCCACTAAACTCAACAAGAAGAGGAATATCCCAGAACCATGGACAAAACACTGGTGTCAGTTTTCGAGAAAGGGTGTAAAAAAAAAAAAAGGAAGCAAATGGTTACCATGTGACTCACCACATCCACAACAACAGAAAGGTCAAGAAAGGGTGTTGAGAAAAAGCCAAACGAGAAAATGTGATAAAGTTACTAGGAAATCTATGCTTCATGTGAAAGATTTCTTCCAGAAATCTGGAAAAGGCTGACCTTTCTTTCAAAGAACATATTAAAACAAGTTTCACGACAGCCAGGAGGATGAAAGAGTAACAATAACCTTCAAAACAGGGGAAATAATGCCAATAGTGACACTTCAAATCGCTAGTGTTGACGGCCCCGTTGAGGCCAGGAAAAATATCAGAGCTGGAACAAATACAGACATCGTTTACGGCCCGTACAGAAGTAAAGTATTTAAATTACCGGAAAGCCTTACTCTTGAATATGTACTCACTGGAGCGGAGAAGAGATACATGATAATATGTATTTGGAAAGTACTCGAGGGCCTGGTCCCAAATCTTCACACTGTCATAACAACATATTGGAGCGAGAGATATGTGAGGAAATGCAAAATAAACCCAGTGAAAAGCAGGGGTACAGTAGACACAATAAGGAAACACTGTATCAACATCCGTGGCCCCAGATTATTCAGCATCTTACCAGAAGATATCAGAAACACTGCTGGAGCAAGTGTAAAAGTCTTCGAGAGGAAACTGGGTAAGTATCTTCACAAGATGCCAGATCAACCAAGCTGTGATGGATATGTGGGGCAGCGGGTCGTCAACAGCAACAGCCTTGTTGACCAGGCAAGCACGAGACGAACCTGGCCCATGGCCGGGCTCTGGAAGTAAAAAAGACTTTCGAAACTCGTCAAAGGAAAAGGTACCACTTTTGGCTTCTTTACTATCTCTTCACCTGGCCTGTCTTCTGGTTTTCTTTTCCACTCTTCACCTGCCTTGCCTTGTGACTTTCTCCACTATTCTCTCACTCTAGACCAGACAACTGTCCAGGACCGAAATGTTACCTGTTATCTCTTATAATTAAGTTATCCCTATAACCACGTTTTCTATCATGACAACTTTACCCGTTCTCTCTGCAACACAACCCAACAGTAACTGAAGTAAATCTCTCTCTCGTCTAACATAATTTTTTTTAAATAAATACTTGTAAAATATATGTAATAAGCTTAATAATGATTAAAAAGCGTGTGATATTTAAAAATAAATAGTTCTAATACTAAGCTGAAGCTTCGTGAAGGCTTTAGTTTGTAAATGCTTTAATAACAATAATAATTGTATTATCTTTATTCATAAAACAAATATATATATATATATATATATATATATATATATATATATATATATATATATATATATATATATATATATATATATATATATATATATATATATATATATATATATGTTAAGAAGTGTATTTCTCCCAGGATATATATGCTGAGAGTTTAGTTTAATCTATAGTTTAGTGTAATTAAAGTATTCTTGTCTGATAGTGAAAAGGCGTTAATGGAAATAAGTCTCTTTGAGTTTTTTGGGTTATCCAAGGCAAACTATACATGCTGCTATATATGGGAATTTATGTAACTGTATTTATGTGTACCTGTACCTGAATAAATTTCCTTATGAGTAGCCTTAGTGACCATTGTGTAGCGGATAGGCTTCAAACCTTATTACCCAACCTGGAGTACAGCACAGGATATATAAACCGAGATGTCGATGTCTCTCAGTGTAAACTTTAATGCCTAAAATAGAGTATATACTGGGAAGGATGACCTAGATTAAGAAGTATTATATATTATCTAAATATTCACGACAAGAATAATAAAACAGAAGGCTCTCTCCAAATCCTTTATTCCCTCCGACCACTGCCAGCATGAAATAAAAGGTAATATATACCATTCCGTGTTGTAAAGAATGGCATGGAATTTACAGGATGTTTAACAAACATTATCTCTCGGTCCTCAGCAGGAATCGAACCTGCACACTCTGTATCAAAGTACACAGTAATTTCGACACTCAGCAAGATCCCGTTTGCGAATTGTTAAGCATTACAGGATGTATGGAAGTTCAGCGGTGGTGGTGATGTCGAGTGTCGGCTGCCGTAGTGTCGACTGCGGTAGTGTCGGCTGCCGTAGTGTCGGCTGCCGTAGTGTCGACTGCGGTAGTGTCGGCTGCCGTAGTGTCGGCTGCGGTAGTGTTCAGTGCGGTCCTACAAGCGACGCCATTCTTCCATTAACAGAACATGCATTTACACTCACGCTGCTGCTGCCTCCTCACTCCTTGTGCCTTAGTATCTTTCCAAGTTAAAACGTCCAGCACTCTCCCTCCTGTCAAGCATCCAGCACTGTTCTTCTGTCCCTAGACTTTTAAGCATCCATCACCATCACTCCGTCGTATCAAGAGACAATACTCCTTATATTGGTAAAATATGTGAGTTCCATAGTACTCAGCTATAAAATTCACTTATATATGGTTGCTGGGGTCGGTTCAACCGTCTGAGTCATGTGTTCTTGAATACTTTGCTCTAGAGGTTAATTTTGATTATTTTGGTAATAGTATCGGTTTTGGTCTCAGCAAAAAAACTGGTATCGTCCCACAACTAATTTGCACTTACCTATTTACTGTATGCTTATATAAGTGAAACACACTGTCAAATAGCGATTATGAAGCAGATATATTAAGTTTTACAAAATAGGTGAGGCGGATGACTGGAAAATGGGAATAAATGGCACCTGCCTTACAATACCTGAAAGGTAACGCCATATACCGCAAATCCGTTGAGCACTTACCTGGGTCATCGCTTCTGCTGTACGGTTCCAAGCATTCTGGTCGATGGCCTGATCACGTCAGCTCCTGATCAGCCGGGCTGTGGTGTTGGATTGTGTGCGTCCAGCGGCAGCAAAACCTTGATTAGAAAACGATACTCATGTACAGTTGAGGACATTTATTAAAGGAGACGTATCGCCACGAGTGGCTTCTTCAGTTCTGAAAAAGCCAGTCGTGGCGGAACGTTTCTTCTAATAAATGTTCTAAACTGTACATAAGTGTCTTCTTCCACATCTTGTTGGTATCAGCATACCATTTTTCAAGACCCTGATTCACCAGGAGGCCTTTTTCAAGACCCTGATTCACCAGGAGGCCTTTTTCAAGACCCTGATTCACCAGAAAACCTTTTTCAAGACCCTGATTCACCAGAAGGCCTTTTTCAAGACCCTGATTCACCAGGAGGCCTTCTTCAAGACCCTGATTCACCAGGAGGCCTTTTTCAAGACCCTGATTCACAAGGAGGCCTTTTTCAAGACCCTGATTCACCAGAAGGCCAAGTCTGGGATGGGGCAGAAGGAACGTTCACTCCCTAAAACATCCTTAAACATTCCTTCAGGTATCAGTCTACAGCATACTACACCATCAGCATCTAGTTAACAGTTTCTTTGCTGTTTGCCGCAATGTTTCTCTTACTCAAGAACAATTATGGACATGACCTACGGCCTCATAAAAGCTCATCTGTGACAAATGTTTTACAGTTAGACTCACCTCGGCTCTACGAAGATAATGCTCAATCTCAGAGTAGGGGTCGTGGGAGGTGGTCGTGGTGGTGGCCCCGGACCACCAGTGGTGGCCACGAGATTTGTTGCCCGGGGACCTGCTCGAGGCCATGCTTGCAGAGGTGCTGGGCGTGTCTACAGGAGGTGGGCCTGTCTACAGGTGGTGAACGTGGGCATTCTTGCGTCGCTTCATACTGCCCAGCTGGTTGCCGCAACAGCTGGGAACACTGCTCTGAGCGTCACACTTCAGACAACGCTCATCTGTGGTTGACTCAGTACCCGAGAACACTGCTCTGCGCACTATACTTGAGGCAACGCTCATCTGTGGAAGGAGAAAAACATATCAGATGAAACTCAAATTGAGTGCACTCAACACAATAATTTCCGCAAGCACATACAAGCGCACTAACACATTAACAAGGAGACTGGTGCCAGAACTTTGGAACATGAACACCGAGAAGACTCTTAGGGAGCTATAACAATACAAGAAGAGGCCATGAGAGACGTGATTATGACATACAAAATACGCAGAAGATTAGATAATGTAGAAAGGATAGGAACAGGATCTCTCAGATGCCAGGGATGCGTTAGAATTATTTTACTAATGTTGAAGTGTCAGTGGTGATAGTGGTGATAGTGGTGAAGGTGTGTAGAGTGGTGGTAAGAGTGGTGTGAGTGGTGCTGGTGATGATGGGGGAGGGAGGGGTAGATCAGAGAGCAGTTATTAAGCCTCTCGTAAATCAGGATCAAGTCAGTAAGCAGTGGTTGCCAGGCTGGAGGCCGTGACAGTCTCTACAGGGAGCCGAAATTCAATGTACGTTACCCAGCTCTTAACACTGCCTGCCTCTGCCACCTTGATATACGGGCAGCGGCGGCAGGTGGTGGTGGTGTCACCGACTGGTGTTTCTCTCTGTTTCTGTCTGTCTGTCTCTGTCTGTCTGTCTGTCTGTCTGTCTGTCTGTCTGTCTCTCTCTCTCTCTCTCTCTCTCTCTCTCTCTCTCTCTCTCTCTCTCTCTTGTTACTTTGGTGGACCACGGAAGAAGCGACCGGCAAAGGTACAACATCAACGAGACAAAAAACGGAACAATCACTGGAACGTCAAGGAAAGGCACAACAGGACCTGTCATAGAAACAACGTCAATGCAAGGCACAACGGGACCGTTCAACACGCGGGTGCTACACGCAACTGCACATCAGGACGTTGAGATCGTTGAAAGTTCATCCTCCTTAGCTTGGAAAAAGTCACCCTGACCAGCATCCTCAATAACGATATCTATCCTCTGGGCGTAGAGAAACCGGAGAGCACCTCAGAAACACCATCCAACATGATCTGCTCTGAGACCGGGCCGCGGGGGCGAGTATTTACAATGGTATAACCAGGCAAACAACACAAGATGTGCACTGTCACTAGGTATATCAAAGCTGCCTTAACGTCCTACATAACCTCGAGATACGAACCCTGCACCTTCCACCTGTGACTGGAAAGCAGAACCACCTATCAACTAGACACCTCTAATCTTCCTGGTCATAAACTCAAAGAAAAAGAGCTTTGCTGTTTTCGACATCCACATAAACACCTTCAGGAATGCATGTTACTGCCGGTAGATGCTCAAAATATATGCAGAATATTATATTTATGTTTTACATTTGCATTTGTTGGCATATGAGTGACAAGTAACTCTAGTCTGGCGCAGATGTCGACGTCACTTGTTCACACAGTTGTGCTCGTGCACCGATGTGGTAAATGTTAGGCCGAAGGCTAAACCAGCTAGTTTCTTTTTTATACCACTTAACATATTCATATAAATTACCTTGCCCAAAAGTCAGACTGCTGCACTTGAAGGTTAAAATGTCTCACTCAGAGGTCAAATTATTCACCTAGAGGTCAAATTATTTCACCCAGAGGTCAGACTGCCTCACTCAAAAACAAACTACCTCATCCAAAGATCAGCTACCTCATCCAAAGATTAACCAACCTCTCTCAAGAGATCAAACTACCTTACTCGGAGATCAAACGTCAACAGATAAGTGCTTAAAGTACTTTAAGATCATTTTTCCTTACATTTCCAGTCACAGCAGTTGTGTAAGACCTTAAGAAGCAAGCACAACACACCTGTAACACCCTACCAATACTCCTCGGGAGTCATACAAAAAAACTGGGAGTGCAGCTAATGTAGTGCTGAGACCAGGCATCAGGCCAAGCCCAGAAGCATTCTGGAGAGATGCTGAGTTACCCGAGTCAACTGAAGGTGGGATCTCAGTGCTCTAGTGAATTTGTACACTGACAATAAAGAATACTTTTGATTTTAAATTTGAGATTAAAGTACTCTCTCGGCGTACATATATGCTGAGAAATAACCAGCTCTTGGTGTATATACACCGGTAGATAAACAATTCTCGTTGTATATACAATGATAAACAACTCTGTGTGTATACCGTATGTGATTTACTTCCTTTGAGTTTTATGCTTAAGGGCGTAAGTAAAAAACCATCCCTACATTACTCCTAGATCCATTTATACTCAACGTTACCGGTCGACAATCTCCTCTAGTTCTCTCTGCTCTAAACGTTACTGCTCGACCATCTCTGGTTCTCTCTGCTCTAAACGTTACTGCTCGACCATCTCCAGTGCTCTGCAGCATCTCCCAAGATGCTAACACCTGCCGCTTAACGACTTCTTCTCACCTGCCTCAATTAAGGTTTGCCATATAAGGTGAGAATGGTGATTTTTACCCTGTTTGTTGTGAGACACGCTGAGAGCGTTGTACCTCGTCCATATTGACCAGCCTGTCTTTCCTCACTCCACGTCTCATGATATACATATATCTCCTAACAAGAAGCATCATAATATATACATCTAGAGGTAATACAGTCGCAAACATGTGATCTTAACAATGCAGAACAAGCCACATGGGGATGGGAATCTCTACATCTAGATCTTTCGCACTCTCGTGCGTCGTCAGGCGCTATGCATGTCTGTGGCATAGACTGATACCTTCTATCTTGCCTCAGAGAATTTCCCCTCCTATCTGTTGCTGTCTTGCAACATTGCATAGCTTCTGACGACGCACGAGAGTGTAAAAAATTTAGAGCTAAAGATTTCCATCCCCCATGTGGCTTGTTGTAAGCATCTAGAGGCATGTATCTTAGTATATATATACACACTGAGAGCCTACTTCAATCTTAGAGATTAAAATATCATTTAGAATAAAATCTGGATAGAATATGGCGTTAATGATCATCATGCAATCAATATGCTTCAGTCTAACGAGGTTAACTATTTTTTTTTTGGTACGAGATATAAGACTAAACAAACATACTGATCCAGCTCTTTCCGCTGTTAGGTATAATACAAAATAAATTCTTAATCTTTATTTTCAAGTCAATTCTCTGGGATGTTAATGTAGTGCTTCCATCACTCACATAATGTGCGGCGCTGCCCAACACTCTCACCCTACGAGGCAAAAACTAAATTTACCTCCCTCTCTTGTAAATCTGTATATGGGAGTACATGGAGAAAGGCAGACAGCGTGCAACCCCACAGTCCTTATACAGGTTGTCTGCTGAGATGGACTAGCTACACTCTAACTACTTATAAATCTCATTAGTGCTGGTACACAGTACCGACAAGTTGATGAGCCAAGCACCTCCGGACAACTGAGATTAGGATGGTATAGATGTGACTTTCCTCTTTATTTGCCTCCATCCAAGAGGTTCCAGATAACAGAGATTAGGAGAGTATAACTACGATGCTCCTCTTGATCCCTGTGAAGCACTCTCGTCCGCTATAACTTAATCCATTTAACAGAGTCGTCCAGATTTATTGAGGTGGGCGGGCAAGTACCTGCCCAAGCCTATTAAACAAGAACCACGCTGTACTGACACCTCAGAAAGAGTTCTTCATTCATAAGGGGATGCGTCGTGATGCTGCTGCAGGGATCTTGATTCAACAAGGAGCTGGAGCTACCTTCCCTCTTCTCTGATCACACTAATGTTATCCAGGTGATAAATGATGCTGCTTCTACTTCAGCATGTGTCAGAGTTTCTCAGGTAGGGAGAAGCGAGTGGTGCTCCACACTACTGTACTCTTATAGTAGTGCTCCACACTACTGTACTGTTATAGTGGTGCTCCACACTACTGTACTGTTATAATGGTGCTCCACACTACTGTACTGTTATAGTGGTGCTCCACACTACTGTACTCTTATAGTGGTGCTCCACACTACTGTACTCTTATAGTGGTGCTCCACACTACTGTACTGTTATAGTGGTGCTCCACACTACTGTACTGTTATAGTGGTGCTCCACACTACTGTACTGTTGTAGTGGTGCTCCACACTACTGTACTGTTATAGTGGTGCTCCACACTACTGTACTGTTATAGTGGTGCTCCACACTACTGTACTGTTATAATGGTGCTCCACACTACTGTACTGTTATAGTGGTGCTCCACACTACTGTACTGTTATAGTGGTGCTCCACACTACTGTACTGTTATAATGGTGCTCCACACTACTGTACTGTTATAGTGGTGCTCCACACTACTGTACTCTTATAGTGGTGCTCCACACTACTGTACTCTTATAGTGGTGCTCCACACTACTGTACTGTTATAGTGGTGCTCCACACTACTGTACTGTTGTAGTGGTGCTCCACACTACTGTACTGTTATAGTGGTGCTCCACACTACTGTACTGTTATAGTGGTGCTCCACACTACTGTACTGTTATAGTGGTGCTCCACACTACTGTACTGTTATAGTGGTGCTCCACACTACTGTACTCTTATAATGGTGATCCACACTACTGTACTGTTATAATGGTGCTCCACACTACTGTACTCCCATAATGGTGCTCCACACTACAGAACTGTTATATTGGTGCTCCACACTACAGAACTGTTATATTGGTGCTCCACACTACTGTACTGTTATAGTGGTGTTCCACACTACTGTACTGATATAGTGGTGCTCCACACTACTGTACTCTTATAATGGTGCTCCACACTACTGTACTGTTATAATGGTGCTCCACACTACTGTACTGTTATAGTGGTGCTCCACACTACTGTACTGTTATAATGGTGCTCCACACTACTGTACTCCCATAATGGTGCTCCACACTACAGAACTGTTATATTGGTGCTCCACACTACTGTACTGTTATAGTGGTGCTCCACACTACTGTACTGTTATAGTGGTGCTCCACACTACTGTACTCTTATAAGGGTGCTCCACACTACTGTACTCTTATAGTGGTGCTCCACACTACTGTACTCTTATAATGGTGTTCCACACTACTGTACTGTTATAATGGTGCTCCA